ATTGCTCACTGTACAAAACACTCATAAATAGAATTAATGAATTTACTTAATGATGAAAGATTTTTGCCCCAGTTTAAATTAAGTTAAAATGCTATGGTAGCGTGTGCTTGTCAGTGTGATGGGGTAGTAACTCACTTTATATGCGATTTGTGGTATGTCGAACAGGATTTAAGAGGATGAAAAATAGATGTTGGTAGTTGCACTTTTTCTGACGCGCAACACATCCCAGCTGGCTCATTTTTAAATTTCAGAGCATGACAATGCGGACATTTCTTATCCATAGCACCAATTACCACTTTTGAGTGAGCATAATACTCAATATCGGGCTCATACTGGAATGCTAGACCGCAGTAATGAATCATATATAAATACTCGATGTACCTGTTGTCGTTGTTGGTCATTTGTTCTGCGTCTATTGACTGTGAAACGGCGTGGTTGTCGTTGTTCTAATCTTCTGTCTTCATTGCGTTCAGCTCGTGTATCTTCTGGCTCTTATCTGACTTCATTGCGTTCAGCTCGTGTATCTTCTGGCTCTTATCTGACTTCATTGCGTTCAGCTCGTGTACCTTCTGGCTCTTCTCTGACTTCATTGCGTTCAGTTCGTGTATCTTCTGGCTCTTCTTGATGCAATTGCGCTATTCTTTCGGATCTACTATTTCGCATGTATCGAGATCTACTTGTATCACGGCTCAAATCTCCCCCTTTGCGTTTTCTTGGCATTGCTCACTGGACAAAACACTCATAAATAGAATTAATGATTTTACTTAATACTGAATGATTTTTGCCCCAGTTTAAATTGATTTAAAATGCTATGGTAGCATATTTTTGTCAGTGTGATGAGGTAGAAACTCACTTTATATGCGATTTTTGGTATGTCGAACACGATTTAAGAGGATGAAAAATAGACGTTGGGTAATTGTCAGACTTACTCAATACGCTCACAAAATTTCATGAGAATCGGTATAGCCGTTTCGGAGGAGTAAGGTCACAAAAACTGTGACACGAGAATTTTATATATTAGATAACGGAAATAAAATGATTACCTCGTTGTTTTTCATCAGACAATCATGATTTTTGGAATATAGTTTTCTAATGAATCTTGAGTTTCAAATTAAATTTCATCAAAATCGGACGACTATATCAGATAGCTCTCATATGAACAATATGGAAAATGAATAGAAGAATCGTCATAGCTTCGATGTTGTTTAGCCTTTATGTATTTTGTTCGACATATTTAATGACTGCAAGAGTATATACATAAGTTTCGGCTTGCCGATGCTAGCTTCCTTTCTTGTTTTCACTGACCGAGTTCACGTAGTGGTGATTACTATCCTTGCAGAGAAATAGCAGATCTTTCTTATTAAGTTCAGGTAGTAGACGGACGGTCCTCCCTATCTTGGTTATGTAGGGGGACGGCTGATCCTCCCAGAAGGTGCAGCCCGTGGAAGTTTCGGTTTTCTCGAAAATGCGGAAACTTCAAGATAGGTCCAAAACCTATCTGTTTGTTAAGCGGACAGACCTCCAAAGCCCAGCGTCCCGGTGACTTAAAAATTTCTTATAAAGAGTTACTGAATCATACTGAAAGTTGTACCTCGGGAAGAGAGGAACCCTACAATACTTATCGAAAATATATATACCGCATATACAGCATATGGGTCATAACTAGATAAGTCCCAGAATAATAAAAGGTAATACGGCTGGCCATAAAAGGCAATAAAACTTTTAAACAGAATTTTCAAAGGGTGTGGTCGGTCAGTGGTCGAATAAGGAAAACAAAGTCAGTGATAAAAACTCATGTTTAATAGTTTAAAGAAATTTTCTCAAATTAGTGCTCTTATTTTCCAAGCGTGACTGCAAGTCATTTGTGATTTTTTCCCTTAAAATGAAACGACAGGCTATCTAGTAGGCTTGATTTGATATTTGGGTACACATGCTTGATTTTCAGTCAGAAGTAGTATTTACCCACAAGCCAATATTCTTGTCAAAACGTCAAAAAATGCCGGAACAGGTCAAGTTTCAGCTTATATGTATAGAGGATTTATTTAAAATGCGAAAAATTTTGATGTACATTTTGTGGAATTTGGATAAACTTTAATTTTGGTTGAAGATGTGTCAATCACCTGAAAAATTGTTTATTTAATATTTTTCCAAAGGGGGGATTCGAAAATGGGCTGCGACTTGGCCAACGCACGACGTTTTGATTTTAGAGAGCTATCGAAAAACGGGCTTATCGGACATGCGCTACGCTGCAAGAACTTTAGGCTGAAATGACGTTTCCCACTTTAGCACAACATCATATTAAGGCAGAGCTCTATAAAGCGTGTGCTTGTCGACGCTTAGGCGCGACGACGAATTTCATGATGCGAACCATGACGCTGATTACGCAGCTGCACACGAAAGCGCCGACTGTTGTCCGTATCGCGAACCTCCATTATATCGTTGAGGTGAACTGGGGCAACTGACTGAGGTTGGGCTGGCGGCTGAAGAGCAAGCCCTGGATCGGAACGTGCGGCCGCGCCAGGAGGTACAGCAGGGATAGGTATGATCTGTCGCTGCTGTGCTAGTTGCTGTTCCTCTTCAGCCTCTTCCTCTTCGTTGGGACTTTCGTAGTCATCCATGGCCATATTATTTGTTTCCACTAACGACTGTGAGAGATTACGTTGTCCGATCTCCTCCCGGGCCATAGCAGTGGCCATAAGACGCTGTCTTCGCTCCTCCATCAGGCGGTCACGCTCCTTGTGTATATAATCTCGCTTGTTGGGCAGACCAGCAACATTATTGGCGGAAAGAGCGGAGCGAACAATATTCATGTCTGTCGCCTCCATCCACTCGTCGGTTTCCGAAACATAGCATTCGGTGTGCGAGATGGTCGAGACGCCGTTAAATCCGCCGATAGCAAAGATCATGTCGTCAATAATCTCCAGCCCAAAGTTGCTGCGCGAGTGGTTCATTTCACGGATGAAGTGCCAGGATTGTGAGTCCGGATCAAAGCGTTCTCCAGTAGACAGGCGAGCTGTACCATTGAAACCACCAATGACGTACAGCTGGTTTCTGAAGGCTACGCAACTTACGCCGGACCGACGGTGATTCATGTTGGCTATTCTTGTCCAAGTGTTAGATATCGGATCGTAGAACTCAGCGCTGTCTAGGCACTCCTGGCCGTTGAAGCCTCCGGCAGCGTAAATGCGCCCTCGCAAGGTGCAGGCACTGGCATCGGAACGTTGCATGTTCATTGGCGGAATAATAGACCACTGATTGGTCCTTGGGTTATACCGTTCAACGGTGTTCAGTCGGTTGTGGCCGTCGTATCCTCCGATAGCATAGATCATACCATTCAGCTCCGTCACACTCACGTAGCATCGTCGACAGTGCATCGGTGCTATTTCACTCCATTTTTTTTCACGGCATCAAAAACGCGGCAAGTGTTAAAATACTCCACGCCGTCGTAGCCACCAATGGAGAAAATTTTGAAACCAAGCACAGCTGTGCCGTGATAGGCGCGGGGACCGGCAGGGTCTTCAGCGTTGATGTTTACCCAGCGATCGGCCCGTGTGTCATACGTCTCGATGCAACCTTTTGACGTTCCTCCGCTCCATCCACCAATCGCGAAGATAACTTCGTGCGGCAGCCGCGGCATAGCAAGTGGAGGCGTGGTAAGCTTGGGTTATAAGAAGAAGTAAAAAACCATGTAAATTTTCAATTATCATTTACCTCATCTGCCTGTGGGTTCAAAAAATCTAGGTCATACATAAATTTAAAAGTATCCACTATTAGCGGCTTAGCAGCCTCACATTGAATCACGTACGGGTGCTCCTTGACCTCTTCCATAAAGCACTAAATAAAAGAAGAGAAAATAATAAATAATTAACAAGAAAGGAAGCCTAGCTTCCATATTTTCATATGACAGCTATATGATATAGTCGTCCGATTTTGATGAAATTTAATTTATAACTCGAGACTTATTAGAAAACTCTATATTCCAAAAATCATGCTAGTCTGATGAAAAACAACGATGTTATCATTTTATTTCCGTTATTTATATATAGATTTTTCGATTTAAGAGTATTTAAAAAACTTGATGTTTTAATGATCATGCTTGTGGGATTAAAACGACGTTATAATTTTTTTCCATTATTTATTTATAATATATATTTTTCGATCGTTCCTATGGCAGCTATATGATAGAGTTATGCTATATCGGCTGCCTGTTAATGACAGATACCTGCTACAAGGTTAGTGAGTCATCAAAACTGCTGCATCCGCGAGGTTTGTGAGCGTAAAAGTGGACAAGTGCGTGTTCAATACAATAAGGTCTTTATTCAATCCTAATTGTCTAGCTTTAATAGTTTTCGAGATATCAAAATTCAAACTTAGAGGGGAACAAGCCTGGTGTGAAGAAAATTGGCGTGGCAGATTAGTAGAGTCAATATTCATCCAAATTATTGTAAAATAAAATTTGTTGGCGAAATAATGAGCGTGGCACAAAAATTTAGTAAACTTGCGCTGCGTAGATTAGTCGGAACTGCCCGAATGCGACCTCTGACTATACATTCTCGTATATGTAATATAAAATACTGCCAAAGATGTGATCAAATTTTTTTTTAGGTAAACTAGCATGATTTTTTTCAGATGGTGTTTTTCACGACTCTTAGTTAAATTTCATAAAAATCAGACGACCGATCCAAAGATCAAAAATATATATAAAACAAGAAAGAAAGCTAGGTTATACCCTTGCAGTCATTAAATATGTCTTAGAAAATACAACAAGGCTAAACAGCATCGAATCTATGACGATTTCCATATTATTCATATGACAGCTATATGATATAGTCGTCCGATTTTGATAAAATTTATTTTGTAACTCAAGACTCATTGGAAAACTCTATATTCCAAAAATCATGATTGTCTGATGAAAAACAACGAGGTAATAATTTCATTTCCGTTATTTCTATATATATTTTTCGATCTTTCCTATGGCAGCTATATGATATAGTACTCCGATTTTTATGAAATTTTCTCGATTTAAGAGTATTTGAAAAACTTGATGTTCCAAAAATCATGCTCGTGGCATTAAAAACAACGAAATTATAAATTTTTCCCTTTATTCATATATATATTTTTTGATCTCTCATATGGCAGCTATATGATAGAGTTATCCGATTTTGATAAAATTTAATCCGAAATTCAATAGCAGTTACGAAACGCCATCTGGAAGGAATCAAGTCGATCTGATCAAAAACAACGGAGTAAGAATTTTTTATTTCATTCCCTCGTATGGGAGCTATCCTATATAGTCGCCCGATCCGGCCCGTTCCGACTTATATACTGCGTGCAACAACTACACAACTTTTGGTAAAGTTTCAGCAAAATAGCTTTAAAACTAAGAGACTAATTTACATAGAAACCGACAGGAGGACAGACGGACGGACGGACGGACGGACAGACAGACAGACGTACATACGTATTTGGATTCTGATCGTGAAGAATATATATACTTTATGGGGTCTGAGGTGTCTCCTTCACTACGTTGCAAACTTCTGACTGAAATTATAATACCCTTTGCTCTGCAAGGGTATAATAAATGAAATCAAATTAAAACATAGATAATTTTTTTCATACAAGACAGCTTTTTTTAATGTAGTGTTTTCTTAAATTTCTTAAAAATTGGCAGACCAAATCATTTAGCTGACATAGTTGTTGAATATATACAACTAAAATCATTTTTTAAAAAGTATTTCTTTAACGATCGGATATGCATATCATATAGCTGATATATATTTTTTATTTTTTTCTTTAAAAAGCAACCTTACATTACATTTTCCATTCACATTTGAATTTACATAAAAAAAATAATGAACGTCAAGATGTTTTGTATATTACTGAAGTGAAGAAGATTATTAATAAAATAATTAATTCCTATGGCGGATATAGGTTAGAGCAGTCATATTTTCTTGATGCCGATCAGGAATACACATACATATTTTTGGGCTCTGAAGTGTTTCCTTTACTAGTTTTGAAATTATAACTAAATTTCTAATACCCTCAGCATGCGCTTAAAAATATTATGCAAAATATTTATTTTTAAAAATATGAATTGTATTTGTTTAAAAACATAAAGCTGACCTGTTACATATAAACTTGATTTGTACAGAATAAGATACCAGATTGTTTCGTTGTAGAAGCGCAAAATGGTAGCATATACAGCAATTTTACTTTATCCACTCACCTTTGGAGTCATTAAACCCAGCCGAACTCCGGACATTAGGTGTGCGACATATTGCTTTCTGTTCTCTGGATTCTTCTCAATCCACTTAACGCACAATTTCCACACATGGTCTTCCTCACGCGTGTTAAGCTCATCATCGCTAATTATACTGTAAAAGTCCTTAACATTCATATCGAGGATGTCTGTATTGCGCGCTGCGACTTCCGTGAAATATCGTAGCGTGTAGTTGCGTGCTTGCATGTGCAGGTCCTCAAGAAACCGAAAACTACCGTTAAAACAATTAAAATCGATTTATACTTTCTCGATGTATAGAAAAAGCTAAATTCGAGCATCTCACCGGGCGAATCCCATGACACTAACACAGTTTTCCGGAGTTAGGTTGCGGCTGAGGTAATCCTTACACTGTTTAACCAGTCCCACCATACCAACATAGTCCGCACAGATAAGAAGCTCGTGCACATTATCTTCGCAGATGTTAGTTTTACGTAGGTATGCGTACTGGATTACACAGTTCATTATGCCTGCACTGATGCCGGGGATGTGAATAACGTGATTTCCCTGCGGGGCAGCTGCACCAATTCCGTCTTCCCGGCCGATGGAATTAAACCCTGTAAACTGTGCACTGCGGTGAAGATTAAGATTTATATTGCCATGCAGTGCTAATTCAAAATAGCAACTCACCGAAAATAAGAGCTGCATGAACACATTATTGCACGATGAACGTTGAAGGCATACTCTTCCACAGTGATCTGCGCATCGCACAAAAGATTTGCTTCGCGCAGCTCGTTTAAAGTGTTAAGGGCCTCGTCGCTCACGGTGGGGGCCAAAGATTTAGACGACGCTTTGAGGACAGTGTCGAAGCCGATACCGAGAAGATCGTCCTCCTGGGGACTGCCGTCCGTGTCAAGCTCCATCATATCCATTAAAAACTCGGTGCGCTAAGCACGTGCGAAAGGCAGATCCTCGTTAATGAGGAATGAAGAAAAAGCAAAATTGGTCGATTTTAAATTAACAACAACGAGACAGCTTTCTTCGAAAACAAAACGACTACTTAGCTGCAAACCCGAACACTCGACATAAAGTTAGAGTTATACCTTTCCGAACTCTTTGCTCTTTTGATATAACGTAAAAAAAAATAAATTATAATTTTTCGTCCCGGTACTAAAAAAACCTTTTTAAACAACCAGAAAAAAATTTGAGGTTCAATGATACGTATTACGCTTAAACGTATTAAATGAGTACATGTTTGTTTAAAATGATCTACTTGCTATAATAACCACTATTTACATGTATAGATGTCTTTAACAGCTTAAAAATTTTCCCATAAAAAAAATTAAATAATAACGCATTTTCAAATTATGCAATTGTATTTAAAACTGTTTAAGCAAATTTGGTAACCACGAACTTGGGATTATCTACCAAAGTCTTTGTTAATGTCTGTATTAGCATGACTTTTTTAACAATGCAAAAGAAACAATTGATGTATATTGGTAGCTGCGAAGCCTGACCAGATCTCATGAACTAAAAGAGCTAGAACACGGGGATTCAAAATGTAGATACTTGTTATAAGCACGCAGCGCCTGCTTAGAGAAAATCTGTGGCGCCCGCAGTTTTTATGTTACAATAATTTAGTTTTAATATTTGGATTCTATTCAAGGATACGCAGCAAATTGCTATTTTTTAAATCCTAGTGTTCGCCAACCAGCCCACATGTCGACCTTACAAATTAACCTTGAACACAGAACTTAAATGTAACAAGAAAGGAAGCTAGCTTCGGCAAGCCGAAGCTTATAAGCTTATAACCCTTGCAGTCATCAAACATGTCGAACAAAATACATAAAGGCTAACAACATCGAAGCTATGACGACTTTTCTATTAATTTTCCATATTTTTGACTATTGTTCATATGGCAGCTATATGATATAGTTGTCCGACTTTTATGAAATTTTTTTCTCGGTTCAAGCGTAGTTAAAAAAGTTGTTCTTGTAAAAATCATGCTTGTGGAATTAAAAACAATGATGTTATAATATTTTTTCCATTATTTATATATATAAATTTCGATCTTTCCTATGGCAGCTATATGATAGAGTTATCCGATTTCGATAAAATTTAATCCGAAATTCAATAGTAGTTAGAAAACGCCATGTGGAAGAAATAAAGTTGATGTGATAAAAAAAAAAAACGGCGTTAGAATTTTGTATTTCAATCTCTTGTGTGGGAGCTATCCTAGATAGTCGCCCGATCCGGCCCGTTCCGACTTACGAGGTGTGTTCAAAAAGTATCGCGAATTTTGAATTTTCGCGGGTTACCTCATATCGAATTTCGATGTTTTTGTGGCGTTATGTTGGTACTCATGTCTCTCACTTATGCCGACAAGCTCGGCCATTTTGAATGTTCACTTAATTGTTGACAACTGCTTTGCTTGCACGTGTTTTGGGTCGTCTTCGATTTTTACCTATTCAAAACAATGGATCAAAGAACCTGTATTAAATTTTGTGTAAGAAACGAAATTAAGTGCGTGGATGCATTCCGAATGTTGACTGTGGCATACTGAGAAGCTACCTTGGACCGAAGCAACGTTTATCGGTGGTACAAAATGTACTTAGAAGGCCGAGAAGATGTGAACGACGAAGAGTGTGCCGGACGCCCGACCACTTCAACAACAGACGAAAAAATTAATGAAGTGGAGAAAATGGTTGTTGGAGCAGTAGATTAAGTTTTATTGTTAGTTTTAAGGATAGATGAAAAAATAATTAATTGAATATATGCAGCCAAATGTAAACAAATGCCAAATGCTTATCAGTTGCACTCAAGTTTGAGCATAGCCGAGTTGTTGTGATCTAATTGATAAGCTTTTCTGTTCGTGGCTATGCGAAATTGTATGCTGCTCTCGAGAAAACATAAACCGATCGAACCTCGAAGCCGAATTTTTCCGGGAAAACTCTCCCGGATTTACATTGGCACCCGAGCAGGGACTACGGCTAGTTTGTTATTAATTTTCGCGTCGGAAAAAACAAACAAAAAACAGTGCACTTCTCGTAGTCTCGGCACTTGTTTAGTTTTTTTTTAAATTGTTGGCGGAAATTCTAGCTGGTGGAATTCGGTTTTAATTGTTGGCGAACGCAGTTTTGACTTGAAATAGGAAAGTGCTTGGAAAATTATGCCCAACAACAACCAGGTATTCAGTGCCAAAAATTTGCGAGCACTCCACTTTATGTGTGTATGCGTGCATTTTACATGATAATAATTCTTGGCACCTATTTATATTGTAAAAATTAATAAACCCAAACTTCCGAATAATCAAATAAAAAAAGTGAACTGCCTTTGACAAAACTTATGGTGTTTTAAATTCTGCGAAAATTTGAAAATTTTATGTGCGTTATATACACACGGTGCAACTGCAAAAGTACAGCTATATCTACATATGTACATATGTACAAACATGCCGGCGTTTCGCCGCAAATTTCGATTCCCTTTTGTGCAGTTGCAGAGCAGTTATTTGTCTGCTATATATGTATGTATAAGGTGTCACTGGCTTCTATGCTGTACATAAAACAGCACATCGGTTAATTTTTCGCGCCACATTCAGCGGCAGTGGCTTTCCAACTGTATCTAGCCAAAAGTGCCTGCAAAACTCGGCAGTGAATTTAAGCCCTGCTTACAGTTGTATACATTTATTTATTATTTACATTGTATTTATATTATATGTATAGGGGAATGTTGTCAGGGTTGGGCCATATTTTGACCTATGTCCATAAGTTCTGAACGAATGACAATTTAGAATAACTTTGTACATTTTTGGAAAAGTACAAGCGAGAGAAAGTGTTCACTAAAAATAGAGAATAGAAAAACAAAAACAAAAAAAGTTATAGGCGTTTGAAAAAAAAAAATGTCAGAGTTGGGCCATGTTGTCAGGGTTGGGCCACCTTCAGAAAATCGTTGACAATATCGTAACGTGGTGGAATAAAATTGAATTCAGGTAAATCTGACATTATTTTGTTCATTTATTTAATTATTTGGGATTTTACAGTAAAAATCAAATTATTCAGAGTTTCAGTTTCTTTGGGGGACGAGCACGTTTCGCTGGTATTTTTGCTTTAGGTGCAGAAGTTGTTTTCTTCGCTCGCTGTTTTTGCCGAATAAAAGTTAGGAATAATTTCTTTGTCTCAATCAAAATTCACTCTTTTGCATATTTTTTGCTACAAAAAACTAAAATATTACAACAAAAATCGAAAATACACGAATAAAATGTAAAAATTGTGATAGCCCAATCCTGACTGCAAAAGTGGCCCAACCCTGATGACATGCGGTTTTAATATATTATGGAATGATATAGCCAAACTATATCTATCAATGAAACTATATCTCAGTATTTTGTAATATAACAACTATATAACGTATTTTTATGCTCACCTTGCGGATGACATGTTGTAATCTTGTGTTATTCCACCTTTTTGGCCAGGTTAAGAAAACTTTTTCGGGCACTTTTTTTCACAGAACAACGACTCGTAGAAAAATGAAATCCCGAAATAAGTAGTCACGTGGAAAGTTTCGAGTGACCGATAGAAGTATCTAGACACCCACAAACAGATGGTACTAGTACGAATATTCAAAATATTGAGATGGCCCAAGCCTGACAACGGTCCAACCCTGACAACATTCCCCTATGTTTTTGCCTGGAGAAAATTGTGATACATTTGGAGGCATTTTTTGGCGGTGTCTGTGGGCACATAGAGAAATACGGGATCCACTTAAATAGTTTGGACAATTTATGTCAAAATAAAATTCCACATTTGTGAATTTTTCGGCTTTAGTTTAACGGCAAACACACATACAAACATATTTTGTGCATTTTGGTGGTGCTTCTGTGCATATTTAACCCTTATACAACCCAATAAATATTTTGAGAAGAATTAAAATTTTTAAGAAAAACATATTTTGTGCATTTTGGTGGTGCTTCTGTGCACATTTAACCCTTTTACAACCCAATAAATATTTTTAAAGGAATTAAAATTTTTAATATAAACACATATTTTGTGAATTTTGGTGGTGCTTCTGTGCACATTCAACCCTTATACAACCCAATAAATTTTTGTTAGAGGAATTTAATTTAAGGGGTTATATACCTTTTTCAGAATCAAAAAATCGAAAAAAATTTTATGATTTTTTTTTATGTACATACTTTCAACAATTTTTCTGCAAAATTTTTTAGAGATCGGGGCACTAGAACCTAAGATACAGCCGTTCATAGCGCACGGTGTGCATGACTACCTAATGTCCACCTAAAACTTTAAACGCGATTATCTCGGAATCGCATTTTTGAGAAAAGGTCGTTGCGGTGAGCACGATATCTCGGTAACCACTACATCGATCGATTTGAAATTTTAAGGGATTGTTTGTAGATACAATAGCTAGTTCGTGAACGAAGAAATTTTATTTTCGATAAATTTTTCTATTTTTTTGGGGCGAAAAACTAAATTATTAGACCTCGAAAAATCGGTTTTTTTGAAAAAATAATTACTGTAACTGTAAAAAATTTTTTTTCGTAAAATCCTTCGTTCACGAACTAGGTAGCACTATATACTAACGTAGTTTTTTTTTTTTTTTTTTTTCGTTGAGCCGTTTTCTTGTTTTCATGCTCACCGTGAGCCACTACTTAAAAAAGGACTTCTGCGGCAGGGACTATAACTTCCACAATTCTCAAAATTTTCACTTGAAATTTTATACGAATTAAGTTAAGGACACGTACTTTGATAAAATTTTTATTGAATTTAAATAAAACAATGGTAACATGCTAAAAAAAAATAAATAAAAACCCTGTATTTCTCTGGTGAAAAAGGTATATAACCCCTTAAATTTTTAATTTTTCAAAATTTAAAATTTGGATATCGTTGTAAATTTATTAAAAGAGCATTTTGAGCTTTTATACATTTCGGAAATAGATTTATTTAACCCTTGTGTTCGATTTTCTACTTGGAATATTTTATTTATTTAAATTGACTCAAAATGTCTGAAAAAGAAAAGGAAGTATCGTCAAAGCCTA